TGGGGTCCCACGGACAAAGGCGCAGACATCAAAACTAAGACAGGTTTTGGACAGGGGCGTCTGCTAGACACTGCTGGACAGATGCGGGAGATGATGGACAGCATCCATGTTGTGGTGCATACGTGATTCTCTCAAGTCCACAGGTCTGTTGTGAAATGGCTTCATTTTCCCATGTGCCAGCAGGGTTCTGTGTTTGTGCTTCTGGAGATGACCTGTGTCCAACAGACAGGCTGAATTCCAGTCAGACTCCAGGCCCGGTTGTGGGTGGGGCGCTGATTCACCTTTCCCGGCTTCTACTGGTCCTGGGAAGTGTGACCAGAAGAAAGAACAGGTGAGACGCCAAAGGCCAAGAACTAACAAGCTCTCAGGCAATTTACTATGCACATCAAGCATGATGGGAAATTGTTCTTTCCTACTCAACACTGAGCCCGTCGGCAATAAAACGGCACATTGCAATGGCCCCAGAGCTGGGCAGTGGCGTGCTCTCCAATTAGACCCGCTGCAGGCCAACTTAAGCCCCTGATTAATGCTGGCTGGGACACTCTGAGGATTATTTTTTTTGTCCTCTGTGCCAGGTAGGTTGGTACAGGAACACTGTGCAAATGTTTGTGTTATCCTGGCTTTTCATAATTAGATTCTCTGGAACCATAAACTTTTCTCAGGACCTAGAAGCAGGCAATGGAGTGTCGAGGGCTGGGCTGAGCAGGGCCTATGTGCAGCAGGGTGACCTCATCTTCCTGCAGGCCGACCCGAAACCTGCTCCCACCTGAGAAAGAAAAGGTAATGAGATGCCCGCTGTGGAGCCTAGGAACATTCAACTATGACCTGGTTATTTGCCAGGCTAACTCGCCATAACAAAGGGAGCTGAAGTCCTCAGTCTCCTGGCAGGTGAGGAAGTTGAAACCCAGTGCCTCACAGATCCCCTTAGCTCCCACACAGCCTCGGGATTCAGTGGTCAGGCCTGCACACCTAGAGAGGATGCTACAGAGCCCCTCCCACATTCACAAAACTCTCTGCCTCCTCTAACGTTCACTGCACTGGGCTGGGAGCTAGCTTAGTTTGTGGAATGCTTACCTAGGGTGTAGGAGGCCTTGAGTTTGATGTCCAGTGCTACATAAAGTAGCTGTGGCAGCACATGTCTGTAATTCCAGCACTTGGGAGGCAAAAGCAGGAGAATCGCTAGTTCAAAAACAGCCTGGGCTACATAGCAAGATCCTGTCTGGGGAAAGAGGAAGAGAGAAGAGGGTAGGAAGGATTAGAAAATCCTAATGGGTATAGGAGGAAAATGAAAATGAAAACAAAATCATCCTTACTTATTAAATCTCAAGATAATCTTTTTAAACAACTTGATGGGTTTCTTTCACATGTAATGTAATTCTGCTGGCTCCATCCCTCTATCCGCTGCTGACTCCTGAGTGTTGCTGGTATTCAAAGAAAGAACAGCCAAGGAGCCCTAGCATTCTAGAGTATTGGTTCTCAACCATCCTAATGCTGCAACCTTTCTAACCCTTTAATGTTGTTCCTCACGATGGGGTGACCCCGACCATAAAATCATCTCATTGCTTCTTCATAGCTGTACTATTGCCACTGCTACGCATCATAATGCAAATATCTGATGTTCAGAATGTCTCATGTGTGACAGTTTGAGAACTGCTGTTCCAGAAGCTACTCTCATGGATTAGGGCTTTCTCTCCACCAAAGAATCCTTGCCAGCATAAACCATGCTTTCAGCTAGCCTGAACTGAAAGCCGGAAGTTTAGAGCAAATGGAGGAGAATTGGGAGATCCAGTTCATAACTGTGGGATGCCCTTTCCTCTCTGAACTCAGCCTAAACGCAGTGATGACGTGGCTAAGGGCTGAGCCTGGTTCTGCCTGAAGACAGGCACGCCACCCCTGCTACCATGAGTATGCAGGGACACCCTCCGTAAGTGACCAGGTCACGCACTACCCAGCTTTCCAGACTAACATTACTGTCCAAAAAACTGTCATGTGAATGTATAGGTCACTCTCGACTCTCTAGAAGCCACATGTAAGAAAGAAAATGGACTGGTGCTTGCTCAGCGGTTGAGAGGTCTTCCTTGTCTGCCGGAGGACTGGGATCCGAATCCCAGCACATATGTCAGGTGACTAGAACTCTAGCTCCAATTAAGCTGTTGTTCCCTCCTGGCCTCCATGAGCACCACACACATTCGTGAGCATACGCGCACAGAGTCATGTATATGAAATAATAAGATAGATAAAAAACATTTGGAAAAGACAAAAGTGAAAATACATGTGGGGACCTGTATGTGTCTGCACATATGTGCAGACGTGCTTTCCAGGTGTGCATGTGGAGGTCAGAGGTCAGCGTCCTGCCCCTTCCCTTGCCACCCTCCTCCTATTTATTTCATTTTATTTTGAAACAGGACCTCCCAGGGAACCTGGAGATGAGCGTAGACTGGTCAGGGTGGACTTGCTGTCCAATTGGTCTCCAGGATCACCTGTCTCCTCTCCATCAGTGCTGGGATTACAAACGAGTCTGACCACACCTGGCTTTCATGTGGGTCCTGGAGATCTGAACTCAGGGCCTCATGCTTTCCCATCAAGCATTTTACTCACCAAGTTACCTTCCCAGTGCCCAAAAGTAATTTTAGTAACTTATATAACCCAAATGTAAAAAATATTGTATCAACACATAACTGAAAATTTAAATTTTTTTTTTCTGAGACAGTCTCACATAGTCCAGGATAGCCTTGAATTTTCTCTCAAGTAGAGAATGGCCGTAAGCCCCTCACCCTTCAGCCTTATCTCTCTAGTACTGGAATCCCAGGCATGTACCACCATGGCCAGCTTTGCAATATTGGGCTTATTTTTATCTTTGTTTGTTTGTTGGCTTTTCAAAATGGTTGCTTTGTGTAGTCTTGGCTATCTTGGAACTCTGTCTGTAGACCAGGCTAGCCTCAAACTCAGAGATCCACCTGCCTCTGCCGCCTGAGCAGTGGATCCACTTTAATCCACCGCCTGTCTAAAATACTGTTAATAAGTGTTGTGCTTTCTTTTTTTACCACTGAGTCTTTGAAATCTTGTGTGTCTTTTACCCTCACTATTGTACCGTTCATTGGAGCACAAAGCGCAAGTGTGTGATGGCCACAGGCAAGAGACTGGCTCCTGGGCTGTAGTTCAAGCAAAAGCTTCAGGATTTGACCTCAGGAGGCCTCCCTATCTCACCTCATCCCCCATCCTCAAAGGCATTTCGCAGCTGAACCTATGGCTCAGTGGTAAAGAAATGGAGAAGGGCTTTTCCTTTTGCAAACCAGACGCCAAGAAGCGAAAGCTAATGAAGTCTCTGCAGATCTACTGATGACAGGAACAGTGGTTTCTCAATACTTGACCAGAGATGACCCTCAGGACACGTAGAAAAGGCAGATCTTACTCCTCAAAAGAGCAACGGCATGGCATTATTCCCAGCACTCAGGAGACAGAGGCAAGTGGATCTCTACAAGTTCAAGACTAGTTTAGCCTACACAGTGAGTGCCAGGCCAGTTAGGGCTGCACAGTAGACCTTGCTCCCCTGCCTCCCCCCAAAAAATCCAGTGGATTCTCAATGCATACACAAGAAAGCTCAGAACACACAGCCAGATGCTAACGTTAAACTGTATTTCTCAGTTTACTGACCCTGGTTAAAGCTAAGAAAAGTCAGCATTTTACCCCCAGCCATGCGCTTACACACACATGTGCGTGGTTAAGAGCCAAGAATTCAGGGGTTGGTTTCCAGGCTTCATTCTGCAACCAGCTCTCTGCACCCACGGGTGACTGAGGAAGCCGGGCCCGGGGGCGACATTCGGGCTTCCACAGTGGTGCCTGGACCTCCTCTGCTTCCCCTTTGCCTTTCCCACTTGCAGATCCTCACTCTACCTCAGGTGAAGGCACAGCCCAGGGTTTTTTCTTTTTATTTAAAGCGAGTTCCTTTCAGTTGCTCTAACGGTTCCCTGCGCAGGAGCAGGCGACTGAGCTGCTTGCGGTGGCCCTCGCCCCATAATCCTAGCACTTGGGAGATCAGGAGTTCAGGGTCAATCTTGGCCACAAAGTGACTTTGTGGCCAGCCTGGGATAAATAAACAGCAAAAGGGAAGCAAGCTAACTCTTAGTCTACAAAGATAAGATAAACACACGCGTAAAGGAAAAGAGAGGAAATCTGCATAAACTCAGGGCTGATGCTGGGTCCTGAGCGGCTGTTACGGGTATTGGTGTTTCTGGGGCCGATTGTGTAGTTCTCATAATTCACATGTAATCAATCATCTTGTGCTTCAGTCTCTTCATATCTAAAGCAGGCTAAAAATAACCCAGTTCACATCACAGGCTTATTGAAGAGGAACTCAAATAGAACCCTTGAAAAACAAAGGGAAAAATTACTTGTAAAAAGTACAAGAGGGTCAGACTGCAGGACTGACTTTCCAATACAGGAGCCTAAGACCAGCATAGAAAACTGAGAGACAGGATGACAGAGATGGTGCAGCAGCTAAGTGCTCTTCTTCTGTAATCATGAACATGGAGAGTTCAAATCCCAGCACCCACACAAGCCTGGCTTCATTGTACCAACATGTAACCCAGTTGGAGCTTGTTGGTTTCCAGGAGAGCTGGTAGTGAGCCCAGGCACAGGGAACCCTGCCTCAGAGGGATAGGCAGAGAGTAATAGAAGACAACACTGTGCCTTCTGGATTCTGGGTGCGTGCATTTGAGATCAACACTGCCAGCTGAACTGCGTCTCCAACCTTCTCCCCACTTTTTTCCAAACGTAGTCTCAGGTAGCCCAAGCTGACCTCGTATTCACTCTGTAGGTAAGGGTGACCTCAATGTCCTGATCTTCAAGTGCTGGGATTATGGGCAAGCATCACCATACTCAACTGATTTTATTGTTAGTTTAGAATTATTTATTTTAATATTTTGGGTACGCGCATTTGCCTGAATGTAAGTATATCAAAAGTGTACCCGGTACAGAGGAGACTAGAAAAGGGCATTAAGAAGGGGCGGGCTACAGTATTTATTTCGGTTCCACTGCACTTTTATACATATATGAAACAAAGAAAGCAATGGTCCAAGGAAAGTTGTTTGAGTTCAGAAAACCATGTAAATGAGTATCATAAGTGCATACTAAATATTGACAGAGTAGCCCTTTCCCAGAACTTTGTCAAGACAGGTCAATTTAAACACAATTGCCTGGCACATACTGTAGATTCTATCTGGGAAAGCAGAGAAGCAAGGCCGTGTCCAGATTCAGCGTGCAGTCACCAGCCTGGGTTCCATGGCTATGCTCTGACATCCACCAAGAATAAACAAATCTTTGAATTGAATGTAAATGTTTATCACTGGAGGCACAAAGAAATCATGTTCAAGAACAGTCCAGGAAACAAAATGCACCTGAAGTAAAAGGCCCTCTGCCTTTTCTCCTGGAGCTCCTGGGCCTTCCTCTCACAATTCCCCATTGGCCTTGTCCCTTTGACAATGATCAATCCTTCCTGCAGGGAAGCACTTTCCCTAACTTGGACGTCGCTTACAGTAAGATAGGCCAATGGTGATGAAGGAGCAAAAAAAGCTAGTTTTCTGGTTAACGATCTCTGCTTAATTTCCTTTCTTTCATGGTCCTGTTAGTAATTCTTCATGCCTTTAGGTGAGAGGTGGACCCCAGTGGCAGTTTGTCCTTGCTTTGTTTGATTTGTTAGAGATTAGAACTAGGGCCCCTCAGATACAAGGTGAGCTCTTTAACCTCAACTAACACCTTAGGCTCTCCTCTTTTAAAATCAATTTATTTGCCAGGTATGGTAGCACACCCCTGTGATCCCAGCACTTGGCAAGCAAAGGCAGGTGGATCTCTGTGAGTTTGAGGCCACACTGGCCTACAAAGTGAGTTCCAGGACCATCAGAAACAAAATAAATCTATGTGTTTCTGTGTTTGAAGCAGGGTCTTGTTCTGTAGCTTGAGGTGTCCTGGAACTTACTGTGTACCCAGGCAAATCTGAACCTTCCTGTCCTAGTTTTGGTCTCCTGAGTACACCCACTTCACCCCTTCTTTGGGGAAGGGGGTTGTTTTGTTTTTGAGACAGTGTCCCCTATCAGCCATGGATGTTCTGTAACTCATTTTTGTAGACCAGGCTGACTCTAAGCTCACAGAGATCTGCCTGCCTCTGCACCCCTTTTTAAAAATAGGGTCACCTATAACTCCGGCTGGCTTTAAACTTCCTGTGTAGCCCAGGCTGGCCTTGAACTCCTGATTTTCCTGCCTCCAACTCCCAAGTGCTGGGATTATTGGCATGCACCACCACTTTCGGGTTTTGTTTGTTTGTTTGTTTGTTTGTTTGTTTGTTCTAAATTATGGAAGGGGTGTATTTTGCCTGTGAATATAGGTACCTGAGGAGACCAGAGGCCCAGGTTCCCCCTGGAGCCAGAGTTACAAGCCACCTTATTGGAGAGCTGGGGACCACGCTAAGGTCCTCTACAAAAGCAGTATAAGCTCCTAACCACTGGGCCATCTCTCCAGCCCTCCCTTCTGTTTAATAAGAAAATTGTTTTTAGAGAAAGCTTCATGAGTGTGGCTGTGGAGCAAACGACTGAGTTTTCTGTGGTGGTTAGTTGGTTGGCTGGTTGGTTGGTTGGCTGGTTAATTGGTTGATTGGCTGGTTGGTTGGTTGGTTGGTTGGTTGGTTGGTTGGTTGGTTGGCTGGTTGGTTGGTTAGTTGGCTGGTTGGTTGGCTAGTTGGTTGGTTGGCTGGTTGGTTGGCTAGTTGGTTGGTTGGCTAGTTGGTTGGTTGGCTAGTTGGTTGGTTGGCTGGTTGGCTGGTTGGTTGGCTGGTTGGTTGGCTAGTTGGTTGGTTGGCTGGTTGGTTGGCTGGTTGGTTGGCTGGTTGGCTGGTTGGTTGGTTTTTAAGATAGAGGTTCTCTGTGTACTCCTAGCTGTCCTGGAACTCACTCTGTAGCACTCTGCCTCCCAAGTGCTGGGATTAAAGGTGTGTGCTACCACCACCTGGTCTGGGTTCTCATTGGATCCTGCTGGCAAGAAAGAGAAAGAAGAGGGAGGGTACAACTGTAATCAAAGGCTGCAACTAGTCCAGGACAGCAAGGATAACAGCTTAGTACAGTGTGTAGCAATTACCGCATATATGAGTCAGGAGGTAAGAGGGATATCTCCTGGAACGCTAGACCCCGGCTGGGAGTTGGAGATAGAGTTCCCACAGACCAAACACTGAGACCATTCCTAGGAGTCGTTTATTTATTCCTTGGTTCATCCAGCAAATATCTCATTGATTGAAGCTACAAATATTTATTGAGCATATACTCCATTCTAGGATGGGTACTGAGGATTATAGCGGGGACCAAACACATGGCAAAAAACATAGACGGATGAAATAGTCAGTAGATTGGATGGTTCCAAGGAGAAAAGCCAAGCTGAAAAGGAGGATAACAGATTCAAGCCTTAGTCCTACAGAAAGCTTCACTGATAAGCAAAATGACACTGCAGTTAACACCCAAGAGACTGAGGGATGAGTCATGCAGGAGTCTGGAGAAATACTTGTTGAGGTCCCAAAGAATTTCAACCTCCGTGTGGGGAGGGCTGGGCCCTGGCAAAAATCCAGCCAAAAGCTACCCTAGGAAGGAACCCCTGGCTGGGCTTCCATTTCACAGGGCATTGCAAAGTGTGCCACTCGTGTTATGAAGGGAAGCTGAGGGTCCTCGTAAACTATATACAGGAAATGGGAGACATTTTGTGGTAGAATCATCTCCCGGCTTCGTGGTTTTTTTCTAGAAGACTATTTTTATAAATTGCAGATCATAGCATAGTCTGAGCCCTTAGCAACCATCTGGTGCTCATGGTTTCCAAATGTGGTAGATGATAAAGAACACTCTGGGCTGGTTGGCTCAAAGACACAGACTCCAGCCCAGCCCAGCGGTGCAGGCCTGTAATCCCAGCTACTTAGGATGCCAAGGTGGGAAGATGGCAAGTAAAGGCCTACCTGAACAACATAGGGAGACTCTTTCAATAAGTCAAAACAAGACAAGACAAAAAAACTACAAAAATGGTTGGCAGAGTGCTTGCCCTGACAAGCTTGCAGTCCCAGACTGAGCGAGTCCCCACTACCAAAGCAAAAGATACATCAGACATGGGCACATGTTTGTGATCCCAGGCCTTGGCAGGAGGTGGGGGTGGGCTGAGGCAGGCAGATTCTGAGTTCAAGGTCACCCTAAGCTACATAACAAGTCATGAGACTCTGTCTCCAAAGACTCAACCAAACCAAACAAAGCCAGATTCTGGCCCACGCCCCACCCCTGCCCACGGAGGGCTCTGGAGTCTGGGTTTCGCCAGCACACCAGGTGATTCCACACCAGGCAGGTTTGGGAGGCTCACAGAGTGTTCACAAACAAGGAAATGGAGGTCTGGTGAGAGGGACGACTTGCCCAAGAGAGGACTGGTCAGTCAGGCAGAACCAGGAATGATACTTCCATTTCCCAACTCCCTCTGGTCCACCAGGTCCACAGAGCACACAGCACAAAGATAGCCTGTCATGTTCAAACAGATGGGATCAGGCATTCGTTAAGATGTGCCAGGACACATTAATTACTACCTTTGAGAGCTGACGGCCCTACTAGCAGTACAGGAAATGGGTTGGCTTGTTCCATTTACAAGGTCCAATAAAATGACAAATGAATAATGAAGAAATAAACTAGCTCATTGGTAATAAAAAGCTTTTTTCCTCTAACAAATTTTATTTTTGTTCAGTTTTGTTTTGGTTTGTGTTTCAAGACAGGGTCTCTCTGTGTAGCCCTGGCTGTCCTGGGACTCACTCCGTAGACCAGGCTGGCCTGGAACTCGGCGCCACCACTGCCCACCCCACCTCTTTTTTTACAATCCATTTTTATTGTCTGTGAACCACCTGTGTGTGCCCACAGAAACCAGACAAGGGCATTGGACCCCCTGGAACTGGGCTTAGAGACAGTTGTGAACCATCATGTGGGTGGCGGGAAGCGAACTTGGGTCCTCTAGAAGAGTAGCCAGGGCTTTTTTTTTTTTTTTTTAAGATTTCATTTTATTATTATCTTTTTATCTATAGGTATGGGTGTTTTGCTTACATATATGTCTGTGTACAGGCATTCCTGGTGCCCTCAAGTCCAGAAAAGGATGTTGGACCCAGTTACTAGAGTCACTGACAGTTATGAATCACCGTCTGGGTGCTGGGAATAGAATCTTGACCCCCTGGGAGAGCATCCAGTGCTCTAACCACTGAGCAACCTTTCCAGCCCCACAGAATTTTTGAATTACATTTTATTTATTGTGTGCTTGTGTATGTGTATTTGCGTGTATGTGTGTGCTGGCTAGTTTTTACACCAACTTTCACAAACTAGGGTCATTTGCAAAGAAGAATCTTAATCAAGAAAATGCCTCTATAGGATAGGCCTGTTAGCAAGCCTGTGCTGACTTTCTTGACTGATGACTGACATGGGAAGGCCTAACCCAGTGCTTGTGGTGCCGCCCCTGGGCTGATGGTCATGGGGGCTTGAAATAGCAGGCTGAGCAAGCCATGACGAGCAAGCTAGGCAGTATTCCTCCATGGCCTCTGCCTCAGTTCCTTGAGTTCTTGCCGTAACTTTCCAGAATGATGGGCTGTGAGGCGTAATAACCCCTTTCCTCCCCAAGTCCCTTTTGGTCATGGTGTCTTAGTAGGGCAAGAGAAACCTTAACCAAGACAACATGGATGGGTACATGCCCATCACGTGTGGATGGAGGCCAAGGGACAATATGGGGGAGTTAATTATCGCTTTCCACCACGTGGCTCCCCCAGGGCGAACTTGGGTCATCAGGCTTGGTGATGGTAGCCTCAGATGGCCACTGAGCTATCTCACTGGCCCCCTCTGACCAAAGCCTGACCAACACCCAATCCCATGGCAATTATCAGAGAACAGGGAGAAGGGTGGGATTTTTCCCTCCCCCAGTCCTCACTCCCCAGGCCACAATGCTTTCTTTCATGTAACTTGTTTCTGTGGGTGGCCTCAGCTTTCCACAGCCCATGAATAGTATGAATCTGAAGGGACCCTAGCTAGATCAGACTTGTGGAAAAACAGATCCTTCCTCAGGGCTGCCCAGCACTTTAATGTGTGTGTTGTTTGTGTGTTTGTGTCAGGTGCTGGGGAATAAACTCAGGACTTTGCTCATGCTAAGCAAGTGCTCTATCTCTGCGCAACACCCAAACCTGCCTCACATTCTCATGGGTAGGTGCTGTGAGGCTGGCTGTGACCACAGGCAAGCTGTAGCTCACTGTGTGCCTATACTGGCCCCAGGGAAAGCGAACTAAGGAAGTAAGTCATCTCCTGAAGAGCTAACTGCCTTCCCACAGACCTTAGAGCTGCAGCTGCTGTGACTGTCCCAAGAGTGTGGGCAGTAACAGTTGGCTGAGTGATGTGTGTGTGTGTGTGTGTGTGTGTGTGTGTGTGTGTGTACGCCACAAGCACGCACGTGTGTGTGCTGGGCATGCGACAGCAGCCATGTGTGGGAACCCAGAAGCCACCCTCCTCCTGATCCTGTTTGACCACATCAGTGCTGAAGCCGACAGGCAGAGCTGGACTCATCAGGCAAAGTTTCCCTTTCCAAGCCTACACCCACAACAGGCCTTTGTTGTCCTCAGTATTTAGAGACAAAAGCACTTTCAGATGCTTGGAATGTACAAAAAATGTCATGAAAAGGGTTTGCTGGGCCCTGGCCTAAAATCCTGCAATCAGGGTAGGGACCTAGCCTTTCTGCCTGAAGCTCTGGGTCCTCCCATGATTTCTGGTGGCAGGAGTCCTTGCTTCCTGCCCTTCAATGGCACCTGCACCCAGTCCTCACCATGGCCTGGGAGCCTGCAGCCTGTGAAGGCCAGCCTGTGGTAGCCTGGAAGCCTGCAGCCAGTAAAGGCAAGCCTGGGGTAGCCTGGGGGACTGCAGCCTGTCAAGGCCAGCCTAGTGCAAGGCAGAGGTGTGTACCCTCATTTGACTTTCCCAAATGGCTGTACCCCACATTAACACTGCCTGACAGATCTGCAGGTGGAAGGCATGGGTGAACCATTTCTGTGGCATAAAAGACTATAACAACCCATCACCCTGCTGCCCTTCCCACTGGGGCAGAACAGTTCTTGCCTGTGTGCTTACACTGTCATCCACAGCTCTGGTGCTGCCGGGGAAACAGCCAACTTCGATCTTCACACACCTTTTCTCTGCTATTTCCATCCCAGATTGTCTCCAGGGTTGTGGGGGCAGGAACCGACAAAAGGGAAGCCCTCTGCAGACTCTGTGTGGCTGCAGTCTTAGAACCAGTCTCCAGGTTGCTACTGTCTGCTTTTTTCTGACTCAGGCCAGGCAACTCCGAGCCGCTGGAACCAGCCACAGTATTGAACTTTGCTCTAGTTTCAAAATGCAAATGAGCCAGTGCCGTGTTCTACTTCAGGTAGAGAGGTCAGAGAGCAACCGGGAAACACGTGTGTCCTTGAAAGCTCTATGTTGGTGGGAGCTGGAGCTGGAGTGTGGCCCTAGAATGGATGACACACTCCAAATCTTGCAAGCTGGAGGAGGGAGGGGGAGCAGAGGAGCGATGGGTGTGGGGATCAGCCTGGCCTTTGTGTGTGATCTTGTTTAAACAAGCCTCTTATCTGAGCGTAATACTAAACTTTGCTCTTTCTTATTACCCCAGCTCCCCAGAGAATGGGTTTATGACTTTTGGATTCCATGAAGGAGGATTAAATTGCCTCCTCACAGATAAGAGCTCCAAAAAAGCAGATAGGCTGGTAGAAAGAAATGAGAGAGGGAGGGATCCGTGGTTGTCCTGTGGGGACAGTCTTCTCTGGCCTCCCCTGCCATGTGCTCTGTGCACAAGCTGTATGCTGAGCCACTGTTAGCTACTGTGTGGGTTCCTCTTCCTTCCACCTTCTCCATCCCTTCTCTTCTTCCCTTTCAACCCCTGACAGTAGACACGAGCAAAAAAAAAAAAAAAAAAAAAGATAAAGAGGAAAGGGAAGAGATCCCTGAATAAAGTCAGGTGTTAAAAGGGGGGCAACATTATTGTTCAATAACGTTGAGGTCATGGAGCTCCTTGGGGCAGATTTGATCTTCATAGTCAGGGCATCTAATTTCTTCTTGTTGTTTCTTCTTTTCTCATGACTACTTTAAAACTGTGCCCAACAGCAACCAACTACTTCCCAACCAACCAACAAATAACCCACCTATTGGGTCTCTAGCATTTATACATCCTCTGAAAAGTTCCCAGGATTCTGAATGTCACACAATCATAAAACCAATGAGCAGCTGGTGAAACCATGCCTCTGCCAGAGCATGAGGCAAATCATAGTCAGCTGCTGTGAAGCAGCCCTATATTCTAACACCTGGGATTAAAATGAAAACATACTATATATATATATATATATATATATATATATATATATATATATATATATATATATATGGTTTTTCAAGACAGGGTTTCTCTGTGTAGTCCTGCCTTGTAGACCAGGCTGGCCTCAAGCTCACAGTGATCCACCTGCCTCTGCCTCCCTGAGTGCTGGGATTAAAGGCACGTGCCATGACACCCAGCTTTGAAAACATATTCTTATAATATTTCTGTGTATAAAGAAACCAAAATTCCAAATTTCTCACTGCCCTGAGTCCATGGCAAAGTGGCATCTCACACAGATCAGCATCAACGGTGCCTCCTCTGTGCCTGGCCCCAGCAACAGGTGCCGAGGACAGGGAGGCACCATGAGGAACGCCTCACGCTGTGGCTTGCCAGGGAGACATAGTCCCTTCGTGACAGGAGGTTGGAGGGGGCCGGGGGGCCGGGGCACAGGAGGCTGACTTCAGAACCCTGTTGAATTATGTTAGGGGCCTGAAGTCCAGTTCAGTGCTCTGGAAACATGTCAAAGAGTTGTCAAAGATTAAATGTGCATTTACTGTTTCCTGGTTTCATAGAACACATTAGAGAACCACAGCCACAGCAAGAAAATGAGGAAAGCATGGCTGAGGGACAGGGTAGCTGTGCTCTGTGTTCTAACCCACTGTTAGGGGCTGGAGACACGGCCCAGTGGTTGAGAGCACTTACTGCTTTTGCAGAGGACCGGGGTTCAGTTCCCAGCACCCACAAGGTGGCTCACTGCTCTCACAACTATCTGTGACTCCTAGAGATACCTCCTAAAGGTACCTCATCTGATATTCTTGGGCTCTTGTACATGTGCTCAAGAACATACACACATAAAGTTAAAAAAAAAAAAAAAGGGACTGAAAGCCCTTGGCTCCGCTGCGTGACGCTCCACACAGCCAGTCTCTTCCGTTTTCTCACTTTGAAAACAGAAGTTATTCCAAAATGGTGGTGATTATTAAACACAAAATTTTAGCCCAGTGCCTGGGACACAGTGACCCACAAACTATCACTTATTACCAGCTAAGACTCTAGTTTTTGACCTTCAGATGTCTCCACCACGAAGGAGAAATGAATGAGGCCCACCCTGAAACACAGCACCACCTTTCCTGGATAACCCTCGAAAAAACCCTTTAAGCAACAGTTTTGGTTTTTTTTAACTGTTAACGTTTATTTTTTATTTTAATTTTTATTAATTACACTTTATTCGCTTTGTATCCCCCCATAAACCCCTTCCTCTTCCCCTCCTAATGCCACTTTCCCTCCCCCTTCTGCACGCATGCCCCTCCCCAAGTCCACTGATAAGGGAGGTCTTCCTCTCCTTCCTTCTGATCCTAGTCTATCAGATCTCATCAGGAATGGCTGCATTGTCATCTTCTGTGGAAGGCTGCTCCCCCCTCAGGGGGAGGTGATCAAAGAGCAGGCCAATCAGTTCATGACAGAGGCAGTCCCTCTTCCCATTACTGTGTAACCCACTTGGACACTAAACAACAGTTTTTAAAGGGTTCAAGCCAGGCATGGTGACTCATACTTTGTACTGTGTCCTTGGCAAAAATGGAAGACTAAGGCAGGAGACTCACCCCTGTAGCTCAAGGGGCAGCTAACCTAGAGTCTGCTGAGCGTCAGAATCAAGAAAGACCCTGTGTCAGAGACAAGGTGGGAGGTGAAGATGGAAAGTCACCCTTTGGCCTCCACACATGTGCTGAGACACTCATTCGCATGCATACAGATGTGCACGTAGAATAATAATAAACTTTAAAAGGGAGATGCACAGATTGCTTGCTGCTCAAGCGTCGGGACCTGAGTCTGGCTCGCCAGTGCCCACACACAGACCTGATGTGTGAGTCCACACCTGGAATCCCCTCACTGAGGAGTAAAGACGGGTGTGTGGATGGTGGGGTCTCAGTGGCAGCCCAGCCTAGTCAGAGGCAGGAGCTCTGGGTTCCTTGGGAGAACCTGCCTCAGAAAAATTAGACGGTGGGCCAGAAAGATGGTTCAGCAGTAAGGTGCTTGCACCAAAAGCCTGAGTTCCATCCCCAGACCCCACAGTGGAGGGCGAGAACCTGCTCCCAACAGTCGTCCTCTGACCTCCACACATGCTCAATGGCACTTACACAGCTTTTAAACAGTATAAGCCTTGGGGTGGGATAGACAGCTCAGAAGGACCTGGGTTAGGTTCCCAGCAACCCACAACCCCGCATAACTACAGTTCCAGGAAATCTGACACCCTCTTCTGACCTCCTCAGGCACCACACCACACCAGACACACACACACACAGTGCACATACATACAGCCAAAACACTCACATACATAAAATAAATCTTTTAAAAAATTAAGCAGCGTAATCCTTTATAAAATAGTTCCAGCCAAGCTGTGGTGGCGAAGGCCTTTAATCCCAGCACTTAGGAGACAGGTGGATCTCTGAGTTCAAGGCCAGCCTGGTCTATAGAGCTAGTTCCAGGACAGCCAGGGATACACAGAGAAACTCTGTCTTGAATTGCCAAACACAATCAAATAGGTCCTATATAATGTTCCTCTGACATGATTAAACAGAATCTCAGAGGTGATCACGAGGAGCAGAGCGAGCTTGCACATAGATCTCTCAGCTCGGCCGCCAGACTTTACTGCTTAGACGCCTGCAGGGGACAGAGGATGTCTGGGAGCAGGAAGCTCTTCCCAGGGCCCCAAAGCAGCAGCTGCTCTCCACCCAGGAGCTCTCTCCCGACAGTGCCTAGCCACACCCACCTGCCCACAGGCTCCATGCTGCTGCAGTCACACCATCCTTGCCGCCTGGCCGAGGCAGCAGCACGTTAGTTAGCATGGAACCCAGGGCTATTAGAGGGCACGAGCGGGGCCCTGGCTCTCAAGGTGCTGACAGAGAGCCAGAGGCCTCGCCTTGTTCTGCCTTGCAGGGGGACCTTGAAGGTCTATCTCTGAGGGAAATAATAATCCGTTTCCCTGTGGCTCTCTGAGAGACAAGACACACAAGGCCACTCACTCTGAATGTCACAGAGGCAAGAAGATGGTATCCCTGAGCCACATGAAGGCGAGAGTAAGCTGTGCAATGTACACACAGCGTCCAAGGAGCATCTGATAACTCTAAGTCCCCAAGAACATGGACTACTGTCAAACCGTCTGACCCCTGGGTCTGGAAAAGGCAATTGTTTGTTGACCGCAAATTTACCTTGCATGCAAACCCGGAGCAGGCAGTTAGGGTGTGGCAGTGAGTAGGGTAAAACTGGAACCCCCAGGAGTGACTGAGAGAGGTGGAGTCAGGAGAATCCCAGCCAAGGACAGAATCCACAATTACCCAACTTTCCTGGAGCAGGCTGAGGTGCGAGCTCCTGGCCTCTCTGGTTTGGAGTTTCTGGAATGAGAAGACACCACATTGGTTCTGCCTAAGTGCTGCTGACTCTCTTGGCGTTTCAGAAGAAGAGGGAGCCAAGAACCGGGAGGAGAGAGTAGGCCAAGGCTGCCCTCGGATTCAGAACCCTGGCAGAGCCAGACAGATTTCCATGTCTGAGCATGGTCAATCCAACCAGTTACTAGGCCTCAAAATCAGCTGTTCCCTGCTCCTCTTGTGATTCTTGTCTGAAGCCCTGTGATTTGAAACAGATTCCACATCTGAGAGAAGAGAATCTTGGGTTGTGTTTCTTCTGGAATTCCACATGCTCTTGAGGATGCTGTCTGTTTCAGATGGCAGGACCCTGGAATGCTCCATCTCTGCCAATCACTATTGACTAGGTGATGCTCCCAAAGCTGCTACTGAAGGTCCAGCACTGGGTTCAGCCTATGGGACAACCAGAGGATTGTAACTGTGTTCCCAATGTTAAGCATCTCAGAGTTTACAGAGTGTTTAGTCACTTTGAGACTTGTCAGAGATATAAGGGGGGGGGGGGGGGGGGAAGAAGAAAACAAATCCAGAAAATGCCTTCTTCTGAATCAGTTTGAGTGATGTAATGTCCCTGTTTGCTGTGCCTGGAAGTGTTTGCCCAGGGATAGCGGCTGTGTGTGGAGCGTGCTGTCACGTGGATTAGCCTTTGTGGGTTGTACTGTCCCGTCGAGCATGGGG